AGCCTCTCCCTCCTTCCTGCCCCCGCCCACCCGCAAAGCCTGGCGTGGGACAGTCTCGCGCTCTCGGCCACAGCAAGTCACGCCTCGAAGCTCGCTGCGTCCGGGGAGTCGTCTCCATCCGACCTTCCCGTTCCGGACTCATCCCTTAGCAACCGCTACCTTCGTGCTAAATCAGCGCACGTTTACGACGCCGTCCGAGTGTAAAATCTACGTCTGTGTCCCCTGAACCTTCAAGAACACTCGATGCTTCCCGAACGACTTCTGCCGTCTCCCCTGTGCTGGGTGCCGCGCCCGAGACACAGCGGGTTCCTCGACCAGTGACCCAGCAGGTACCGCACTCCGTGGTCCCAACCCCTCGAGGCCACGGAGGTGCCGGGGGTCCCGGGGGGGACGGGGGCTCATGACCAGGCCGGCGCTGCCTCTAGTCCTGCAGCGTGACGTGCGGGAAAGGCCTGAGTGCTGAGTCCAGTGAGAGACGTTCATTTTGGCTTTTCTGCTTACCGGCTGTGTGACCCCTGAAATGTTGCTTAGCCTCTCTGAGCCTCTGGCTCCTGGCCCGTAACACTGTTGCGAGGATCAGGGAGGACGACGGGTGACCTGCTCAGACGCTGGCGCGCGGGAGTCCCCCTTCCCGTCTCCTGCCCCAGCCAGGACACGAAGGTCTCTCGTTCCAGTCCCCGAAGGGGAGCCCAGGGCTCCTCCCCAAGGTTCCTGACCACTGTGACGCGCGGCCCCGGGCCCGTGTGTCTCTCGGAAGTTTTCGCTTCCTGTCTGTAACTATCCACCACCTACCCACGACCTGGAACGGGACCGCAAGCCGGGGCCTAGTCTCACCTTCTCTCTCTCATTCTCGCCTGCTCCGGCGTCTCGATCTCTATCTCCACGGGCTCCGTGGGCAGCGGGCACTGCGGGGAGGCCGCGCCTTCTCCCGCGCCGCCTGGCACAGGCTCGCCGAGCTCTGCCGAGAATCATTTCCAACAATCAGTAACGGCAATGACGGCAGCCATCGCACTGAACAAAATCGAAGTCCTGCTGGAAGGAGGGAGCGAGGGGCGGAGGTGAGGCCCACGACCGTGGAGACCACCGTGAGCTCCCGCCGTGCACCGGGCGCTGTGCTAAGTGTCTCACGGCCATTTGCCCCACGCAGCACAGACCACGGCCCAGAGCAGGGGTCGCTGGGTGAGGAAACTACGGCGCGGGGGTGCTGGGTTGGACTGGATGCCGACCCCTGCTGTTGGTGGGGATGTTCCAGCAGGTGCTTGGTCTTCAAGAAGAAACAGCCAAAGAACCGTCTCCTACTTTCCGTATTGCAACGGTAGCACCTACCGCAATTTGCTTCATGTGGGATCGCGATTCACGTGTCTTTCGCTCTTAAGTGCAAACTCGCGAGGGACACGGAATGCATCTTTTTCACCTCCCCACCCGCCACCGCCTGTAAGCACCAGCTGAAATGAAACGAATTTGCCGAACTGGATCTGAGAACGTCATTCGAGAAGTTCTTTTAAAGACGCTCTGAGCCTAGAACCCATCAGACCTCACCGGCAACGAACACACCCAATGCCAAGACCTTGGTTTCCATGCACCGGTCGCTACTAAAACTCACCAGGACTTCTCGGGGAAAAGAGGCCGGTTTCAGGTCTGGAGCAAGGAAGCTGAGCCTGAAACACCTTGTGCCAGAAACGAAAAACGTTCTCAAAAACTAACGAGGCCAGCTGGGCGCGGGGCTCACGCCTGTGATCCCCGCACTCTGGGAGGCTGAGGCGGGAGGATCGCTCGGGGTCAGGAGTTCGAGATCAGCCTGAGCAAGAGTGAGACCCCGTCTCTACTAAAATTAGAAAGAAATTAATC